AATTATTATTGCTTAATATAGTCAACGGTAAGAATTACCTGTAGTTCACAAAATCTCCACCATTCCTTTTTGTGTGTCAGACCTTCCTTTTGAGATTATTTCCATTCTTCCCAAAGTACATTATTAGTGTAAAATAATCCTTTGTGTTTATTTGTTCAAAAATGTCTTTATTTTTCCCATTTTCTGAAAGATATTTTCATTGAGTTTACAAGTCTAGGGTAATGGTTATTTTTCTCTCAGAGTTTTTAAGGTTATTTCCCATCTGGCTTCCACTTTTGATGGTAAGCTGTCACCTGTCAGCTTATGTGATTCCTTTGAGGATTACATGAGTTACTATGCGAAGTGTTTAGAATAGTGCCTGATACATAGTAACTACTATGTAAATAGTAGCTATTGCTATTTTCCCTTGGGCTGCTTTTCAGACCTTCTCTTTGTCTTTGATGTTCTTCAGTTTCACTAGGGTGTATCTTGGTATGGATGTCTTTTTATGTATCAAGCTAGGCATTTCATGTCATATATCAGTCTAAAATTATCAGCCATTATCTTCTCAAATACCGCCTCTCCCTCATTCTTTCGATCCCCTTCTGGAACTCTGATTATATATTAGACATTCTTCCTCTATCTTTCCTGTCTCTTATCATCTCAATCATGTTTTCCATATTTTTAACTCTCTGTTGAATTCAAAGTAATTTTTTTCAGACTTAAATCTGCAGTACCTATTCCCAAAACTCCATGATAATAGTAATGTTACGATTTACTGAGTACTTTTTATGTGGTCCACCACCCATCTGTCAGTTTGCCATAGTGTGCTGGCTTGCATGTTGCTATCATGCTGAAAGCTATGCCACCAATATTTCAAATACCAGCAGGGCCACCCATGGTGGATGGGTTTCAACAGAGCTTCCAGACTAAGACAGACTAGGAAGACGGGCCTAACAATCTACTTCTGAAAATTAGCCAATGAAAACGTTATGGATCAAAACAGAATATTGTCCCATATAGTGGATATAGTGCTGGAAGATGAGCCTTCTAGGTTGGAAAGCACTTAAAATACACAGTGGCCACAACAATAGTCTCAAACATACGAATGAACATGAAGACAGCACAGGATTTGACAACATTTTGTTCTGTTGCATGTGGTGTCACCATGAGTCAGAGCCAACTTGATAGCAATTAACAACAATAACATGTAGTGGGCTCTGTGCTAGGGTTTTATATGCATTAAATTATTTAATACTTAGCATAGCCCTATTTTTTTATTGTACTTTAGATGAAGGTTTACAGAACAAATAGTTTCTCATTAAACAGTTAGTACACATATTGTTTTATAACAATGGTTAACAACCCGACGACATGTCAACACTGTCCCCTCGGGTTCCCTGTTACCAGCTTTCCTGTCCCCTCCTGCCTTCTAGTCCTTGCCCCTGAACTTTTGTGCCCCATTAGTCTCATTTTGTTTTATAGGGCTATCTAATCTTTGGCTGAAGGGTGAACCCCAGGAGTGACTTCATTACTGAGCTAAAAGGGTGTCCGGGGGCCATGCTCACAGGGTTTCTTCAGTCTCTGTCAGGCCAGTAAGTCTGGTCTTTTTTTGTGAGTTAGAATTTTGTTCTACATTTTTCTCCAGCTCTGTCCAGGACCCTCTATGGTGATCCCGGTCAGAGCAGTCAGTGGTGGTAGCCGGGCACCATCTAGTTATACTAGACTCAGTCTGGTGGAGGCCATGGTACTTGTGGTCCATTAGTTCTTTGGACTAATCTTTTCCTTGTATCTTGTTTTCTTCATTCTCCCTTGCTCCTGAAGGGGTGAGACCAGGGAAGTATCTTAGATGGCTGCTCATAGGCTTTTAAGACCCCAGAAGCTACTCACCAAGGTAGAATGTAGAACATTTTCTTTATAAACTGTGTTTGCAAAGCCCTATTTTTTATCTTGATTTTACAGATAAGGAAAGTAAGTTTCAGAGAGGTTAAGTAACTTGCTCAAGGTCACACAGCTAGTAGGTGGTGGAGCCAAGCCTCAAAGCTCTCACACTTTCCACTGACTCACACTATGCATAGAGAATACACCAGGCCAGGCCAGGTTCTGCAGTTTATTAACCCTACTTCCTCTAAAAAGCAACATTAGCTTTCTAGGACCCAGCTTCTTCAATTTTAATAATCTCTGACCTGCCTCCCTCCCAGCAGTGTTGAGGGGCACAAATGAGATAATGAATGTGGAAGCACTTTGAAAATTATAACATGCTACACAAGTGTAAGAGATAATTAAGAGATTATTATTGGGTACGCAGATAAGCTTGTTTATTTCAAGAACCTTAGCCCCTTGACAAATGTGAAGGATATGTCCTGAGACGTTGTCAAGTCCCCACATCAGGTATCACTAACAGCATAAAATTTCTTCCATAGAATGCAGTAAGGTGTCACTAAAAAATGTAGGCAACCTGTGTAATCTTTAATGATTGTATAAACACAGGCACAGAGCTATTTGTAAAGCTGTTAAGTTACCTGTAAATGTTGTCTGGGGTACTTGCTGGAACTGCTTTGTGGATCACTTTTTTGTAATTTATTTTACCTGAATGAGAGACTCAGTCTGGTCCCCTCTTTAATTGGTTCAGAATCTCTATTTTCTAAGAAGCATTACTTTCTTAGGCCTCTCCACTTTTTCTTCACTTCTGTCACAATACTAAGCCAATAGCTGCCAAGTTGATTCTGACTCGTGGCAACCCCTTGTGTGTCAGAGCAAGGCTTTCAATGGCTAATTTTTTGGAAGTAGATTGCCAGACCTTTCTTCCAAGGTGCCTTTGGGTTTTGCTTAGCAGCTAAGCATGTTAACGCCTCACGCCACCCAGGGACTAGCATTTGGCTTTCTCTGGGAGTCTATTTTCACAAAGAAATAAGACTTTCTTTTTAATCATTTTTCAAGGATTACAAAGTCCTGGATAATGTGTTGATAACTCACCAGTGATCCAAATTCATGCTTCAGCAAATGACAAAGGCTACATGTCATGGGCATTTGGGGTACTCGAGAAGTTTAGATCTCTGAGTTAAATCCTTGGATGCCAGGGTTCTAAAACAGAAACTAGGGATTCTGTTCGTTTCCACTTTGTCCTGCAGTTTGAGCAGCCTGGCCCCCTAACTAATGTATAAGCTCCTTGATGCAAAGGCTGAATGTTTTTATATCTTCAGTTTCCTTTCCAGAGGTCCCTTCCAGCCCCTCAGTGGCTAGATTTGTATGAATTACCCACGTATCATTTGTAGAATCTAATGGAATCACATTCACTAATCACACTTTTCTAGGAGCCTCTAGGTGGCACAAGTGGTTAAGTGCTCAACTACTAACTGAAAGGTTGGCGGTTCAAACTCACCCAGAGGTGCCATGGAAGAAAGGCGGGGCAATTTGCTTCCAATATGTCACAACCTCGAAGATCCTATGTAACAGTTCTGCTCTGCACACGTGGGGTTACCATGAGTTGGAACTGACTTGATGGCAACTAACAACAGCAACCACTTTTCTATTGGACATACTCTCTCCAGTTAGAAGCGGAGTGATATAGAGAAAGAAAGCAGGGTTCTAGTCTGCCCTTGAGTGACCTTGGGTCAATCGTTTTGCTTCTGCGCGGTCTCATTTTATACACCTGTGTATGGTGGGGAGGGGCCCTGGTGGCACAGTGGTTAATCGGTAGCCTGCTAACCAAAAGGTCGGCGGTTCAAACCCACCAGCCACTCCATGGAACAAAGACATGGCAGTGTGCTTTCATAAGGATTTACAGCCTTGGAAACCCTATGGGGCAGTTCTACTTGACTCAATGGCAATGCGTTTGGTTTTTGGTTTTACATGGTGGGGAGGGGGGCTAGGACAGGATAATCTTTAAGATCAAATCTGGCCAATCCCGTGGAGGGATTGAAGAGACACCTTTGCTCTTTCCTGGAGGTTCCGGCTAAGGAGCTCTGGGATAGTTAAGAATCACTAATAAGATCAGTTAACATTTATCAAGTGCTTACTAAGCACTGTGCTAAGTATTTTACATGTTCATGTTCTCAGTTTACTTCTTCACAACCATGTGAGGTAGTTGCTATAATTATTTCCAACTTGTTGTTGTTGTTGGGTGCTGTGGAGTCGATTATGATTCATAGCGACCTCACGTGACAGGGTAGAACTGCCCCATAGGATTTTCTTGGCTGTAACCTTTATGGAAGCAAATCACCAGGCCTTTCTTCCATGGCACCACTGGGTGGATTCGAACTGCCAACCTTTCTGTTAGCAGTCAAGCACTTAACCGTTGTGGCACCAGGGCACGCTACTCCCATTTTACAGATGAAGAAACTGAAGTTAAGTGCAGCAAAGAAAGTTGCATAAAATTATGCAACTAGTAAGTGGTGGATATTCAAACTCAGTCCGAGCAACTCGAGACTCTGCTCTCTTCATCACATGCTCTATAAGGCTTTTTTTGAAGGTGAGTTTGATGACTAGCCAGCTTTTAGAAAAAATGTCTGAAAGCCCACCTACTCTCAGAGTTTTCATTGTTTGAAATACATGCCCCATCCCTCTCCAGTGTTTCATGAGGAAAATGCTTTAGGAACAGCTTTCTCTCTCAACCAGAAGATGAGCAGTTGGGCCTCTTATGGGCATTTTCCAGCTTTTGGGCAACGTCCGAGGCCGTTCGCCAGCCTGCTGGTCAGCCCCAAGCTGGGAACCGAGGCTGACTCTTTCTGTACACCTGGCACTTGTGGTCACGTCCCACTCAACAAAATCCCCAATCGCAAACCCGCTCGGTGTGACTGACATGCCCTGTGAGCAATGAGAATCGGGAATGGTGGGTGGCGGCTACGCCTCCCCGTTGACCCCGCCTCCCTTTCATTCTGTAAGAAAGAACTTCGGCCTGGACTTCCAATGAGAAGCGCAGAGCTGGAGCCCGAAGCCCAGGAGCCCGCCCCCTGGAAGCCCCGCCCACTTCTGTGCCACCCCCGCCCCAGGGGCGGGAGGGATGATGCGCCGGAGGCGAGATGCACCAATCAGAGCGCGTGCGCAGCCGGACTGGCAGCCGCCGTCCCAATGGCGCGCACCGCCCTGCCGGAGCCCCTCCCTCCATCCGCGGGCCGAGCGCGGCCGGGCGAGCACAGCGTCGGGCGGCGGCGGCTGAGGCCTG